TGACATGGTAGATTTGTTTAATATGAACGCATTACAGATGAGCATGTTGTACTTAACTTCTGGAAGTTTCACCTCAGTATTATTGCCCTTACTACTTTTCTTAAATGCAGTGTCCTAAGTAGGCAGGAAGTTCATTTTGTTGGATTTCTTGCCTGGTGAATTTCTCCTTCCCTTGTTTTGTACTTATATTTTTAAATATAAGCAGAAAAGATTTCATCTATGTATTTTTAAGTACATGATGATACTTCTACCTTCTCTCCCTCCCTTTCTCTCCTTTCCTTTCCTTTTTAAAAAATATTTTGAGATTTTTAAAAATTTCCTTTTTACTCACAGTCATAACAACCCTCCACTGAATAAAGAATTCAGCAAGTAGAAAGACCACTGTTCCTCAGGAGAAAAGATAAGGAATATAAGCAATAATTACATCTCAAGATGTCAATTCCACTCATATATGTTGTATTTTGTTTTCTTTTGTTTTGTGCTCTGATTATTAGCTACCACAAGCGAAAGAAAACATGGTAGTTGTCTTTTTGAGGCTGGCTTTTCCTCTGGGTTTTCCAATTTATTTTCAGTAATTCCTCATGCTCTTTTTATGTCTGATGGTATTAATTTGGTTTTCTCTCTCTCCTCTGCTTCTGGTTAGGCAATGATACATCATTTTTCCTCTTAGAAAATCAGCTGTTTATGTCACTGATGTCTTGTATGACTTTTTTGTGTTCGGTTTTTCTTTCTTCTGTAATCTTTATTATGTATTTCTTACTATTAATTTTGGTTTTGATTGTTATTTTTCTGGGTCCTTGAAATGAATTGTTACATTATTTATTTGATGTCTTTCTAATTGTTGTGAACTTTCCTCTTAGCACTGGGTTTTTAGCTCATAAATTGATATGTAGGGTTGTCTTCATTTTAGGAAGTTGTATATTTCTATGACTCATTGTACATTCAGAGGCATGGTATTCAGTTATCATGCCTATTTTGTAGAGTATCTTTTATTGTTAATTTCTAGTTATTTTTCCCATTGTGATTAGAAAAGATATATAGTATGATTATAGCATTTAAACAAATTTTTTTAGACTTTATGTTCTAGTAGATGTCTATCCTACAGAATGTTCCATGAAAGAAAAATGTATTGTGCATCTGTGCTATGAACTGTTCTGTGGCTATCAGTTAGATCTGTTTGGTCAGTAGCATAGATTACGTTGGTTGCGTCTTTTCTTAATTTTTGTTTCTTGCCACTTGATGAAACTGGGATGTTGAACCCCACCATAGTTCTTGCGTCACAGCCTGTTTCTGCGGTTAGAAACATTTTATTTGTCTTTAATAGTTGACTATCTTAGCATTAGGTGCGTATGCATTTCCTGTGCTTACATCTTCCTTTTGAATTGATTCCACATTCATTGCATAATGCCCTTCTTTTATCAGTTTCTGTCTGATTGGGATAGCTATTTCTGCTGATATTTTTAAAATTTATTTTATTAATTTGATATAATTACAGAGATGAGGGAACACACACACACACACAGAGAAAGGCAGAGAAAGAAATCTTCCTTCTTTCTGCTGGCTCAATCCTCAAAAAACTGCAGTAGCTAGAGCTAGACCAGTCTGAAGACAGGAACTAACAGCTTTTTCTGGGTCTCCCACATGAGTGTAAGCTCCTAAGCACGTTGGCCTTCTGAGCTGCTTTCTAAGGCCTATTAGCAGGATGCTGGATTGGAAGTGAGGCAGCCAGGACTTGAACTGGCATAGGATGGGCTGCAGGCTTACAGGCAGTGGCTTTACCTGATATACCACAGTGCCAGCTCCTCTTGTCAGTTTTAAATTTCTGATTGCATGAAGTATCTTTTCCCATCCTTTCACTTTCTGTCTGTGTGTATCTTTGTTGGTGAGGTGTGTTTCTTCTAGGTAGCATATGGAATAGCCTTGTTTTAAATCCAGTTACCCAGTCTGCATTTCTTAATTGGAAAACTTAGGCCATTTATGTTCAGGGTTGCTATTGATAACACAAAGTTATTGTTTGTTTGTAAGTATTTCTGTTGTTTGTTTTATATCTCCTTTGCACTAGTGTTAAGAAGGTTTCTGTCTTCGGATTCTTTCATGATACTGATTTTCTCTCTCTGCCTCTGTGTACTGAACATGTTTAAGTGTTACTGCTGAGTTTCTGATATTGAGTAGTATGCATGACTTGTCTTCTGCTCTCTTGAATGGGGACCCAGTTTATTCTTAGTTATGATTGGTTAATATTGTGAGCTTTCATACCCAGGGCAGAAAGTATTGCTGGAGGCCCCACCTTGATCTGAGGCCCATATAGGCATGCATTCTTCTCAACCATGTAAGCAATATTTTTAAAAATTTTTTTGAAAAAGTTAAAAAAGAAAGTATTGCTGGAGGTGATGGAAGACACTAAGAGGGAACTGGCTTTTCTCTTTAAAAGCAATTTGTTTTATTAAAAGGCAGATTTACAGAAAGGAGAGACAGAACGAGAATCATCCAAGCACTAACTCAGTACCCACATAGTCAGAATGGCCAGAGCTAAGGCAGTCTGAAGCCAGGGACCAGGAGCTCTGATGGATTTGTCTTGTGGGAACAAGATTTGAATCACCCTCTGCTGCTTTTCCAGTTCATAAGCCAGAACATAAACTGGCATCTATATGAGCTGCTGGCAAAGAGGATTAGCATACAATGCCACTGCACTGGACCCAGGAACTGCTTTTGCCCTTAAGAGGAAGATGTACCCTGGAGTTCCAAGTGTGAAATGTAGGAGAAAGTAAGACCCACCAGCGAGGACAATGCTTTAGCCTTAATAACATCAACTCCAATAGCCATCCTGCCCTTTGTTGTGTAAAAACCTTCGGTAACTAATTATTGATAGAAAAGTTACCCATGAGTATGAGAAATCATGATGATGTCAATAACAGCTGGAAGAGCCTACGCTTGAGTTGTCTCTGAAAGGATCCTTTTGTTTTCCTCCAGCCTAACAGGGTACTAACTGAACCAGTTGATTGAAGCAGTAGTCTTTAACTTATCATATGCGTTTTAAGCTCTGGGAAAAATATTCACTTATTTTAACTGATTTGTTATACGGAATAGAGAGTGGACATATTATTTAGTGGTGAAGATGTCCAACCCTGGGCCTGGTGCGGTGGCCTAATGGCTAAAGTCCTCGCCTTGAATGCCCAGGATCCCATATGGGCTCTGGTTCTAATCCCGGAAGCCCCACTTCCTGTCCACCTCCCTGCCTGTGGCCTGGGAAAGCAGTCGAGGAGAGCCCAAAGCCTTGGGACCCTGCAACCATGTGGGAGACCTGGAAGAGCTGCTGGCTCCTGGCTTTCAATTGGCACAGCACTGGCAGTGGTAGTCACTTGGGGAGTGAATCATGGCATGGAAGCTCTTCCTCTTTCTCTCCTCCTCTCTGTTTATTTGACTTTGCAATAAAGATAAACAAATCTTTAAAAAAAAAGATGCCCAACCCCTACATTTTAAAAAAAGATTTATTTATTTTTGTTGAAAAGGCAGATATACAGAGAAGAGGAGGGACAGAGAGGAAGATCTTCCATCTGATGGTTCACACCCCCAAGTGGTTACAACAGCTGGAGCTGAGCCGATCCGAAGCCAGGAGCCAGGAGCCTCTTCTGCCCAACCCCTACATTTTAAAGTCTCTGGATTGGATTTTCCCGACTCGAGCTTCTTGCTATTATAGACCCTTTAAGGTGACATTGATGGTCCAAGTAATTGGATTCCTGCCACTAGTGTAGAGTCTCCTTAAGTGATTTCCTCAACCAAGGTCACCTCCTCTCAGCCCGCCCCACTGTTTCGGGTACTTGGGGGAGTGAGCTGTGTCGAAGAAGCTGTGTCTGCTGCTCAGATACCCTCCCCTTCTCTGCCTATCAAATAAAGAGATTAAATAAATTGAATTCATAACCAAGTCTCAGGGATGGTCATTTGTCTGATGTCACAAAGCTAACCTTGGGAATAAAACCTGTGAAGAAACTTGGTTGCATGGGTTCTAAAGCTGGTGTGCTAAAGCGCAAAAACATCACTGCCTTGTAAGGGGCTGCCTGATTTGGTTCTCTGATTTTAAATAAAGATGACTCACACAGGAAATGCCAGCTGCGGCCTAAGAGTGTGTGCTGTTGGGTTTATTAAACATATTGGATTTGGAGGCTGTTTCCTTTTTATTTGTGTGTTTGTTTCTTTAGTGGTTGGGGAAAGAGCCGCTCCTGTTTGCTAAAGGCCCCATTTATTACTGGGCTGCTTCACAGATCTAGCTTGCTGGCAGGCCCACGAGGATGCTTGAGTTTATAACTCAGCATTTAGAACTCCAGCCCCGGAGGTCAAGGATGAACCGTTGGCTCTTTGCAGGAGTGTGCTGTGAAACAGAGACTCCACGACCGCTTCCCCCTGGGATGTTTTGTTACTTTGCCAATATTTAGAAAATAGTGCTTGTTTTTAGTTTTAATCCATTTCTTCCTCCCTTGACTAGCCCTGTCGATATATAGAACAACTGCTCCAAAAGCAGTGGGTTTCCAAGGATGCGGTTATTAAATGTGGCCTCTGTGTCTTGTGTTTTAAACCTTTTCCCCCACGCGGTCTGGTTTTCCCTCTGCTGTCTGATGGCTGACAGGTAGTTCACTCCTCTGATTGAAAGATTGGTACTTCTACCACATGGGAGTCTCATCACAAAGCAAAATTAACACCGCTGGTCTGGATTTTTTCCACATTTTCAGTCCCATTCCAAAGGGCTCGAGAATTGAGTATTAGCTGATGAGACTGGTAGGGAAGGGGAAGCATCTGAGTAGTATCCTAGGTAAAGGAACTTTGTGTTCAGACACAGGGATTTTTTTTTTCTAAGTTCTTTATTGCCTTTATTTTCAGAGTTGGTCTGTGAGAACTTATAACAGTCATATGGAAGTTATATGCCTTTATTGTTTTCCTTATTGCTTTTATATGTAGCATATAAAACATTTAAAATCAACCATTAGTTTTGGATTTTTCTTTTTCAGATGCCAAAGAAATTGTTTTAAAAGCCCAGATCTTAGCTGGAGGAAGAGGAAAAGGTGTCTTCAATAGCGGGTTGAAAGGCGGTGTTCATTTAACCAAAGAGTAAGTGTGAAGGTGTCCTGTTGTTTGTGTTTCAGCCAAGCGATTATGGAAGACGTCGTCTGTGATTGATGGGTGCACTGAGAAGCAAGACTGTTGTGTGGGGTGTGAGCAGTAATAGCAAGAAGAGGAAACTAAATTACAGGTGTGGAGTTGTGTCAGTGCCTGCTCGGCCTCTGCTCTCATGAAAGGATTCTTGCAAGTAAAATGCTACTTCAGGAATGTCATTTCCCTGTTAAAGGATCCACAGTGCTGACATTGAGCATGGCCTCTAGTCTGACAGTCCAGGCCAGCTTTGATCTGAACCTGTCTTTCTTGTGCTGTCTCTGACATATCCAGGACCCGAACTCTCCATCCTGGTTCTCTTTTTCTTTTTCATTATTTACTTACTTCTTTATTCCTTTCTCTCTCCCCTTCATTTTCAATGAATCCCAGACTGTCTCCTTTCAGATCTGCGCTCACCTCTTTAAACCCATTAGGCAGTTCAGCAGTGTCTCTTTGAGTGTGATTTATGTACAATGAAAGCATGGCAGAAGTCAGTGAACATCTTACACTGAATTTATTCTTTTACTCTCTGACTTTCTCATTAGTTCATTCACTCCTCCCTTACTGATTTCTCTTGCTGAGTCTCTTGGCTGGTTCTGGGTACCTGACAGATGAATGGAAAGACTTTTGTGTGTCACGAGTGTGGAAGTGGATCCTGTGCATGGAGGAGGTGAGAAAGCGGACATTCTGCCTTAAAATGACTTTTAGCAGGCATTTATTTTCTTTTTCTTTTCTCTTTGTGTTTCTCTCTTAGCCCTAAAGTTGTGGGACAGCTGGCTGAACAGATGATTGGCTATAATCTAGCAACAAAACAAACTCCAAAAGAAGGTGTGAAAGTTAACAAGGTAATATGGATGCTTTTGGTCACTTTATGTATATGTGTAAAAAAATATATAAGCCCTGCTTCAGTTTTGACAGAATGCAATGAATCATTGCTCTTTTTTCATTTATTTACTTAAAATTGTTTTTTCCTTATTTAGAAGATAGGGGGAGAGAGAGGGAGATATTTTTGTTAAATGGGGTGGGTGAGTGATTGAAACATTAGCTTCCCATTTCAGAACACAAACACATTCTGGTTAACACTGAAAGGGACCCACGACAATGACCTTAAACTCAACAAGTGAGAGCCACTCAGCACTTTCCAGTTCCCTCTGTCAGAACTCCATTGGAGTTTGTTTCTTAAATGCCCCTGAGCCTTGCTTTGTGAGGACTCCCACTGGAGCCACTAGCCTTGCTGGGAGCGTATTGTGTTAGTGACTGGGACTCCCATGTATGTTTAACATAGGTACGCACATGGAAAGTGAGTCCTGGGAAAAGTGGCCTGCCTCAGCCCCATTATTGTGAATGGTGGAGCTGAAGCCTGGCCTGACTATGCCTCTACTCACCGGGTCACTGTGTGTCATAGCCACCCCTCATGTTTCAGTGACCCAGTACCTGCTCCCTGATTTGTTTGACCCAGTGCAAAATCATGAAGCAAGGGGCACAAATTTCAGGACATCTGTAGCAGAATGTTGGAACAACAGCATGACCTGCCTGGACCCAGGACCTTGTGTGACTTCATATATGACATGCTAGACCTAGGAAACACCCACGGTTAGCAGTCCCTGTCCGAACACTGATTTAGAGCTCCACATTTTTTTAGCTCTCTGCTCCATTGGCATAACTTTGCAGAGCAATATTCTCTTGTTTGTGCATTGTTTAGAAATACTCCTATGATGTATTTTGTCTCTACTTTTTAGAGAGAGTGTTTGAAAAATTCTTGACATGACCTAAAAAAGTTACTAACATGTTAGTGTCACACGAGAGGGTCTAGCCTTAGTTCTTAGTGTCCCAGTAAGGAACACGGAGCTGGATGAAGATGGGGATACTGATGGATCGTTGGCTCTGTGACTCTGAGAACACAAAGCCTGTGTAAATGTGGAAAAAGTAGAAAAAGACTGCTTGATTATTTGCGTTCCCTGCTGCTACTCAGGGAGATGGGTGAACTTGTCAAAACTCAGCACTATGGGACAGAGTTTTGGCCTAGAGACTAAAATGTCTGTGTTTCACATCGGAATGCTTGAATTGCATTCCCGCCTTTGAAGCCTGACTCCAGCTGACGGTTGATGCAGACCCTGGCAGACAGTGTGTTAAGAAACGGAGTCCTTGTCATCCTCATGGGGTAACTGAGTTGATTTCCTGGGCCCTGGCTTTGAACAGCCCAGCCCAGGCATTTCAGGAATAAACCAGCAGACAGAAGAGTCCTCTCTTTCTCTCTGTCCCACTGACTTGCAAAATTCAAGTGTGTGTGTGTGTGTTTGTGTTTTTGTTTTTTTGTTTGTTTTTGTTTTGTTTTTTGCTTTATTTCTTGGGCCAAAACATTAATTTCCATTTTAAATCAGCATATGGGTCTTTACCTGTATGATGTATTCAAAATTTTTCCACAAAGGACATGATTAATATTTTTATTGGTAGGAATATCTTGTTTTTTATGGGTACAAAGAATTTTAGATTAGAAAATGTGACACATTTTAAAAGCACATAAAAATACATATACAAAGCAGATTCATACTGGGTAGTAATAAAATTCTGTACAAAATTAGTTTGGAGATAAGTTCCTAAAATACCAAAGATAAGTGTATTCTTGTATATTGAGTCATTGCCAGAAATCCACTAGGTTGATTTATATTTAAGTACTTTTTTTTTCTGGTTGCAGAAGGGATTAGTATGTAAAAAATTCCAGTTGTACAGAAATATATAAATTACAAATTAAAAATTCCTTGTGTTCTCACCACTCAGAAATAATTGCCAAATTCTGATCTTATCCTTTCTGTGTATAAATTATATCTTGCCACGTTTATATGACATTAATATACTGTGTATGGTGGGTCTCTAAGATGTTCATAGAAAATGTGTGTTATAGAAGAGTTATAAAGAATTTCAATTTCTTTGCATTCAATTAAATTATTTTCTGTTTCTGTGAACTTTCCATTTTTTAAAAATCTAAATAATTATTTATTTTTATTGGAAAGACAGATCAGATTTATGGCAAGGAGACACAGAGAGATCTTTCATCCACTGGTTCACTCCCCAGATGGCTACAATGGCCAGAACTGAGCCAATCTGTAGCTAGGAGACAGGAGTCCTTTATAAGTCTCCCGCCTGGGTGCAGGGTCCCAAGGCTTTGGGCCCTCTTCTACTGCTTTCCCAGGCCATAAGCAGGGAGCTGGAAGGGAAATGGAGCAGTTGGAATTGGAACAGGTGCCTGCATGGGATCCCGGCACTTTCAACGCAAGGATTTAGCCATTGAGCCATGGCACTAGGCCTGAGCTTCTCTTTCTTTCTTTTCCTTTTTTCTCTATTTGAAACAAAAATAGACCAAGGATAGAGCACCCATGTACTAGTTTTTTCTCCAACTACTCACAAGAGTCAGGGCTGAGCCAGCATAAAAGCCAAGGAGACTGGCCCCAAATTTAGGTCTCCCACATCCGTGGCAGAGACCCAACCACTAGGGTATAGTCTGCTGCATCGCAGGGTCTGCCTTAAAGAAAGGTAGCATTGGGAGCAGAACCATGGCTGGAAACGAAGCACTCCAATAAGAGCTGTGAGTGTCCAAAATGGTTTAACTGTAGGCTTCAGTATGTAGCTCTCCATCAACGTTCTAAAGTATCCTACCGGAATTTTGGACAGCTTGCCATAGCAGTATTTCTAATTCTGTCTCTTCTGATTGGGTGGGGATGTGGTATACAGTGAGTGAGAATATGTCATAATTAATGGTTAATCAGTTTTTGATTGATGGGTGTTTGGTGCATTTTACAGATATTGTGACAGTGATTATATTGAATGTTCTCATATGTAGTCAAATCTACAGGCACCGTGGTGACCACATCTTTCATTTTTAAGATGTGAAGTGTCCATGAAGGTCTCAATAACAGTAGCAGCTTCTTGTCGGCTTTCTGAGTCTCGTAATTTTCCCTGTCGATTGCTTCTTTTCTTGGAGTGATCCATGGCGACAGTGTTCAGGAGCCAAGGTGGAGTGAGGGATTAAAGTTCTCTTTTTGGACTTACCATATATCTTGATAGAGCCAAGGAAAAACATTGGCAACACATGCAAGACTTATTAGTTAAGACCCTACTGTGTTGTTTTTTTTTTTTTTAAGATTTTTATTGAAATCAGATATACAGAGAGGAAAATAGATAGAGAGGAAGATCCTCCATCTAATGATTCACTCCCCAAGTGACCACAGTGGCCAGTGCTGCGCCAATCCGAAGCCAGGAGCCATGAACTTCCTCCAGGTCTCCCACGCGGGTGTAGGGTCTCAAGGCTTTGGGCCATCCTTGACCATCTTTCCAGGCCTCAAGCAGGGAACTGGATGGGAAATGGAGCTGCCTGGATTAGAACTGGCGCCCACATGGGATCCTGGAGCGTTTTCTTGTAAAGTCTTCATTTTTGGCATAATTTTTGTTTTATATGATGGGACCATGATTTTTTTTTTAACAAACTGAGAAGTGTTTCCTGGAGTGACTGTCTTATTTCACATTGCCATCAGCCAAGTATGAGTAATGGAGGTTCTTTATAACCTAGTCAATATCTACTGGTATTAATGGTTTTTATATATGCGTTAGCTATTCTTACAAATAGGTACCAATATTTGTGTTTTTATTGTCCTAGTTGTACTAGTTTGTTCATTAATTTTTTCACCTGCTTGTTTGTCATCTGTGTGTTCTCTTTGGGGAATTGCTTATATCTGTTATAATTTGTTCACATTGAAACTTGCAATTTCCCCTTGCACTGGCATGAAGAGATGGCATGTTTGTGGGGTCGGTTAGTGTCTGGTCAGGGCTGGAGGGAGCAGGTTTAGCAGTTTTGGTCCTTCTGCCATGGGAGGATGCAACTGGAAGACCTTCGCTAGGCACAGTGTAAGCTCCTTGATCTGGTACTCGTCAGACCCCAAAAGTGTGAGGAAGCAAATTTTTCTTTATAAACATCCATTCTGTGGTGTTTTGTTAGGGCAGTACAAATAGACAGCAAACAGTGCTTTTTGCCCTTGTTCATCTTTTCACTGTTGAGTTTTGAGTTATCTAATGCTAATCCCTTGTAGGATTTGTGCTTGGAGAAATATTTCTCCCATGATATAACTTAAATATTCATCTTTCTAAAATTGTCCTGGAAAAAGTATTTTTGATGAAGTTCAGCATATTGATACTTACGGGTTTGTGCTTTTGGTCTTAGAGCTGAGTAGATTTTTTTTAAGCCCAAATAGCAACACTTTTTTCATTTTTCTCCCTAAATATTTTATGTTTTAGGCTTAAATCTGTGATCCATTTTGTTTTCCCTTTTGAATGAGGTCTGAGACTTGTTGATGCTTTCTAAATGTTTGGTTTCGAATGAAACTACGTCTGCCTACAAATGTCCGTATCCAGGTTCGTGGCAGTATTTGTGCTGTCTGCTTTGCCAGCATCAAGTCTGAGACTTGCGAATCCAAAAGCAAACACCAGAGGCCTCACTGTCATCTCTGTCCTTGGATCTCAAACTCCCAAGCTCCTCTGCTGTCTTCCGTGTGACTTTCAGAGTTATCTTAAGTTTTCTGTGTATTTCGTGGCTGGGTTTATTTGTAGCTAGCAGGAGGGAAGGACAGGAAGTGCTTCCTTCATGTTCTTGGAAGTCCTGGATTCTAGAAGGTTTCAGTTTTTAGTTCCTTTGAGAAACTATTTAAACACACAATGTATTTTTACACTTTGGATGTTTTCTAACTCTGTGCCACTGTGTTGTGTGCTTCTTAGGGTAATAACAGGGATTCTGAGCTGGATTCCTCCGGGTGGCCTGCGATTTAGAACCAGGAATGCTCTATGTTAAATATAGATATCAAGTCTACTTCTTTTCTTCTTTCTTCACAGTCCTGTTATAGTTTTTTTTCCCTGCCAGTCATCCGTAGAGCCTAGTTTGAGTAGCACAGTTTAAAGATAATACATAGATTGTGTGATCAAATAAAAAACATTTAATAGCTTTCTCTGCTGGCAGAATTCACAAAAAGATGCATGCTTGGTGTAACATAGATGGAAGGAATGCTCTTTTGAAATGCATCTTGGGCAGGGGAGTCAGAATATGTGGAATTCCTTTAGATTTCTCTTGGAGTGTTTCTAAAATTCTGTGATTATGTGGGTCACATACAGATTGCTTATACTGTACCCAAACTGACCCGTGTATGAAATTTCTGGAAATGTTGCTTGATAGTCCTTCTTCTTTGGGGGATGTTTTCATAATGAGTGATACATTGTTTCTGCCAAGCAGGAACTGTATGAAGTGTCACCTGCTCTTTACAAACAAGATGTGGATGGCAGAGCACACCTGTCAGTGTTTCAGAAGAGAATAGGACTCTTAGGTGACACTTAACCTCAAAAGTTGTAATGTTGTGTGGCTTCTTAGAATGACCTGCCAATCACCAGACTAAGTATTAGGAAGGGGGCAGTGGTTAGGCCAAACACAATCCAGGATCACAAACACAATCCGTTCTGGATTTTGTGCCCATCTCATTACTTAAAATAATGCTGTCTCCTCATTTTCGGAAGACTATGATTGCTTTTGTTTCTGTCTGCAATAATATTAATGTTTATGAAAGCAATCCTCATGTTATTTCTGTAAATGACAAATTGTTGCTTTATTTGGCAATGAGAGAAAAGAGCCAAGTATTTTTGCTGTAGATAGTGTCATTCTTTTCAATCGGAAAAATCTGGTGTTTTTTTTTTTTAAGATATTTTTATTGGAAAGGCAGATTTATGGAGAGAAAGATCTTCTATCCTCTGGTTTACTCTCCAAATAGCTATAATTGCCAGAATTGAGAGCTGATCAGAAGCCAGGAGCTTTTTCTGGGTCTCCCACACGGGTTCAGGGTCCCAAGGCTTTGGATTGTCCTTGACTACTTTCCCAGGCCATAAGCAGGTAGCTAGATGGAAAGTGGAGCAGCTTGGACACAAACCAGCACCAATATGGGATTTCAGTACATGCAAAGTGAAGATTTAGCCACTGAGCCATTATACTGGGACAATAATAAGAAATTTTTAGCATTACTGTTTTTTTTTTTTAAGCTCCTGAAAACTGACTGGAGAGTTAGGTATCTGGGGACAGTTGACCTTCTTTGGTTTGCATTGTGGGAAAGAGAACCAACTTGAAATCAGGAATGTTTTATGATAATTTAGTTCTTATATGCTCCTGATTTTCCATTTGTGTTAAAAGAATCAATATAAACACCATTGTGTTGTTTTCTAAAATCTTATTTTATTTACTTGAAAGGTAGAGTTACAGAGAAAAAGGTGAAGGAGCAGGAGGCTGAGGAGAAGGAAAATAGAGAAAGTGAGTGAGTGAGTGAGTGAGGGAAAGAGAAAGAGAGAGAGAGAGAGAGAGAGAGAGAATGAATATCTTCAATCTGCTGGTTCAGTCCCCCAAATGACTGCAACAGCTAGAGTTGGGCCAGACTGAAGCCAGGAGCCAGGAACCTCTTCCTGGGCTCTCATGTGGGTACAGGAGCTCCGGCACTGTAGCCATCTTCTGAGGTTTGAACAGCTCACCATATGAGATGCTAGAATCGCAGAGAGTGGATTTACTGGCACACCAAAGAACCAGGCTCTGTATTATCTTATTTTTAAGTGATGATAAGATCAATAAAGTTTAAAGAATGCTATACTAATTACAACATAACTTTTAGGTTATTATCTATTTAGTCCATTTCATGTAACCTAAAACAGCATTTTGGTGGCAGCTGAGTAGATGAAGTCTAAGGCTTTTTAATCCCATAACTCTGCATGAAATGTTTTGACGAACTACTTTTAGTAATAGCAGTAGGTATGATTTCATTCTCTTGTATCTACTTATGGGGATGTCGTGTGTATGTTGGCACACTCCCTGTCTTAAGAGCATCTGTACTTACCAAACTATTATTTAATCAGGCACAAACCTAGCCACTTTACCTCTAACTTCCTTATCTTTGGGGATACAGATATAAAATGTAGGCATTTACTCCCCCCCCCACACGTGCATGCACGCGCGCGCACACACACACACACACACACACACACACACACACACACACGCACAATTACTAAGTAACATTTTATAATTATTTATTTGAGTAACGGTTAGTGAGGAAGACAGTGAGATCTTCCATCCACTGATTCACTCTCCATATGGTTGTGACTGCTGAGCCTGGACCAGGCCAATGTCCTGAGCCTGCTGGAGCTTCATCCAGTCTTCCACGTGTGTGCAGAGGCATAAGCACGTTAGACACCTTCCACTTTCAGAGGCTCATTGACAGGGAGCTCAGTTAGAACTGGATCCGCAGAGACTTGAATCCATTCTCATTTGGCTGCCAGAACTGTGCTTTTGGATATAACATTTAAGAGAAATCAGAGTCCGTATACGTGTCTGTGACCTGTGTCTACTGTCTACTGTTAGCACTTCAAAGTGTAGTTAGTACTCCAAAGCACAAAGCAAGAATCTCAGGAAGGTGTTCCAAGCTGTACTATTAAGAATAGTGGGAGAAAAGCACTGTAGAATGTGTGATGTACTTCCATGTGCAGATTCTGCCAGCATGGTGCTTGAAGATGCGTATGATGGTGTTCATAGATACGTATAAAGTGGACTGAGAAGGTAGCTCTGGTTTGTCCTCATGCAGTTGCTTCACGTACTTGTAGTTGTGCTCAATATAAGGACCCCTGGCTGAGGCAGTGAGTGTAAAATGAATTGCATCCTTCTCATGTACCCTTTGCCCGAGTCATGGCCTTGGCTGGGACCACATTCTCCCAGAGGAGCATGTGCCGTGCCCCATTCTGATGATCATAAGCGTTCCAGTCAAGGTGAGCTCACAAGCACCAGGAATGCTAGGGCCCCAAGAATGTTCATGAATTGTGGATGGAAATAAAAGGCTGTTCTTTTTTGTTTGTATACTTTTGTTATCATTTGAGTTTTCAGATAGGCAAATATTATGTTTATAAATTAAAAGAAAATGCCAAATGAAATAAAATACACTGATCTTAGAGACAGCAGTGTGTCAACATGGGAAGCGTAGGACTTACTGTAAAAGAAGCCTTCTTTGGCAGGCAGGCTTCGTTTCCCATCAGTGAAATCTTAGCAAAGTCCAAATCCTAGTTTTTATGTACTGTTAAAAATCACAAATTAAAAGAACACTTGTTTCCCTGGAGTTTTTCTTAAATGACAGGGTTTCTCGAAGAGAAAGAAAATGAAGATTTAAGTGAGAGGTTCCTTAAGGCAAACACTGCCTTTGATTTAACGAGTTTACTGGATCAATTAAAGATCTGGGAACAGGCATTGTATACCAGGAGAGCCAAACTCTGAAATCTCAGCCCGTGAACTGGATGGGTTATAGGAGCCTGAAAGGAAAGGCATTTTATTTGTATGGCAAGTTTGTACAGTTTAGCAAGTAGAAATCGGCTCGATGGTGAATTAATTTATTTTTCCAATTGCTGTGGTAGGTGATGGTTGCCGAAGCCTTGGATATTTCCAGAGAAACCTACCTGGCTATTCTGATGGACAGATCATGCAATGGCCCTGTGTTGGTGGGCAGTCCACAGGGAGGTGTTGACATTGAAGAGGTGGCAGCTTCTAATCCAGAACTTATCTTTAAGGTATGTTGGGACTTGTGAGGAGCCTGTGTTGATAAAATTGTTAGAATAGAAACTTGTGTAATGCAGTGTTACAAGCTGGGAACAGTAGATCTGAAGTTGTATGGAGAAGGTGAAAGTGTGGTCCAAAAATTCTCTCCCAATAGTCTGAGTGTGTCTCTAAGCCTCATTTTTTTAAGTGGGCAAAATGAAGATGGAACTGGTTATAACGTGTATGAGGGGATGTACGTAAAGTGCTTCCCACTTAAGGAATAAGGGGTTTGTGGGGAAGTTGTTAAAATCTTACAATTCCATTTTGCTCGCAGAGACTCTCAGTGTAGATAACATAAAAGATTTACAGCAGGACCATTTCATACTTTAATATTAAAAAAAATTATTATTGATTGTATCTATTTGAAATGCAAAGAGGCACCCTGCCCACCTGCTGTTTCACTTTCCAGCTGCCTCCAACAGCCAGGTCTGGGCCAGGCTCAAGGTAGTAGCTAGGAACTTAAGCTGGGTCCCTTCCACACCGTACAGAAAACTAGCATCAGAATCCATGAGAGTCTGGAACAGGACTTAATCCCAGATGCTCTGACAAGGGGTATGGCATCCCAAGTGACATTTTAACACCTTTGTCAAACACTCAGCCCTTCCTATTTCCTCCTCTTTTTTTTTTTTTTTTTAAATTATTTTACCTTTTTTCGAGAGTAAATGTTATTTCTTGTTTCATTGGATAATGTGCTCATATGCTGGTAATTAGATTTTAATATACTTTTACAGTGCTACATGTTCCCATAAACTATCTTGGAAGTAAAAATTAACACTTTGCAAAGTAGTTTACCAATAATACCCTGCTATATTTAAAATTAATATTCCTTAATCAAGCCATTCTGTTTGTTAAGAAAATGTCAGAATGCACGAAATAATGTGTGAATGTTGCATCTTTTTGAGATTGTTATATTAATAATTATCAGCAACAGCAGACTCTAAATTATAGGATAATATTTAACCTGTGTATAACAAGCTCTTATCCTAACAGCAATATTAGACAGAAAAGTCTTCTTTTGGAAACTCTCCAAAATGTCATAAAAATTAACTGACTAAATATTCATCAGTGCCATCTGCATAGTAATTAAAAGTGAAACCTGCTATCAGATTGTCTTGTCGGCTTGGCACCTTGAAGAATTATATAGTTTTTGGAAGGGCTGTTTCGTGGATGGCCTGCTAATTAAAACATACCCTATGGGCAGCCACCACAGTGGCCCTGCTCGGAGATCTCTGGAAAGGTGCCACATTCTAATTAATTACTCATTTGCAAATAAATACTAAGCATTTTCTTTGGAGGTTGTAAACCTTCTCACCAGACTATTCTGAATTTCATTCACTTGAGTGCTTTCTCCTAGGAACAAATTGACATTTTTGAAGGAATAAAGGACAGCCAGGCTCAGCGGATGGCAGAAAACCTCGGCTTCCGTGGACCCTTGAAAAACCAGGTACACGAGGGACGGGAAGACAAATGTGTGTGGCCTGTGTCAGAAAACATCAAGAATCTTGCCTAATTGCTTAGAATGTTTGTGATTACGAGGAAGCAAGATTTCCAGTTGTCTATGACCATGAAAGATATTTCCTGAAGATTTTGTGTGACACATGCATATGTGTGAGTGCTGTACACTGGTGTGTATACTTTGTGATAGAATCTCTGTTTTGTTAGTAATTTCCACCTAGTACCTTTGCGACTCTTACACTCCAAAGTTCACTTTCGCCATCTGTAAAATGTGGGTGATGGTAGTTCTTAAGAGACGTACTGTGAGCATTAATTCGGTGGAGTGTGAACATGCTTATTATGATACACCATAAAGGCCAGTTAAGTTTGTTATGGATAATGTACATTGCTTAACTAATTACTATTTTTCATAGCTAATGGGCACTTCAGAAGAATATTGATGGCGTGAAAGTGGAATTTAGCTGGGAACAGTTTAAAATACGCCAAATGAACAATGAAATTCCTTGACTACTAAGGCAGAAAAAATTATCGTGAGAGCAGTTGAAGGACGGAGTCTGAGCTCCTCCACATGGCCCTGCCTCGGGTCCAGCCCCTGGATCCTGAGGGGTGTGGGCACACAGCTCAATTTCCTCGTTCTGCAGTTGCATCACGAGAGCTCCTACTTCCTGGCATTACCCAGGACACATGAATTACTCTAGATTGCACATGCACATGTGTGAGTGTGTTTGTAGATTCATGTGTGTATGTGTGCCATGTCCTGCCTGGGACTCCGTGATGGTTACTAAGTATGCCCTTTAATTACGCAGTACTATTTCTGACCTGGTTTTTTACCCCCCACCTTCTATGTTTTATTTTAACTGACTCTTACATGTAGAAACTTTTTGGTGACAGTAGGAAGTCAAAGAAGAGTAAAGTACAATATGATTTTTTTTTAAATGTATGTTTTAACGACATTTTAAACAACATTTCATTTCAAAGTAAGAATTCCCTTGGAAAGCAAAAGATCATAGATTGTAGAATAGACAGAATCACCCAGGACCAGAGCTTGGGAGAAGTGAGGAGGGGTTGGGATTTGATGTCCGACTTTAGGAACGAATTTGTCATTTCTGAGACCGGCGAAACAATGCCAAGGGGGTGCTTTGTTGATGAAGATACTGGAATATTCTTGGATCTGTGTGGTAGTGGTTAGTTTAACCTCCATCAGCAAAGTCACTTGATATTTACAAATGATCATCTTGTGTGGTAGTTAGGTTCTCAGAGGGCCATTCTGCCATTTAGACTCTGCTAGCTGCACTGTCCTGTGTCCAGCTCCACAGTGTATCAAGCAGCCCTGCTCTACAGCACTTTTTAAAAATCATTATTATTGGAAAGTCAGAATTACAGAGAGAAGGAGAGACAGAGAGAAGTTTCTTCCATCTGCTGGTTCAACACCAAGTGGCTGTAACAGCTAGAGCTGAGCCAGGAGCTAGGAACTTCTTCCTGGTCTCCCACATGGGTGCAGGGTCCCAAGGCTTGGACCATCCTCTTATGTTTTCCCAGGCCATAAACAGGGAGCTGGAAGGGAAATAGAGTAAACGAATACAAATTGGAGCCCATATGGGATCGCAGTGCATACAAGGTGAGGATTTTAGTTACTATGTTACCATGCCGGGCCCTGCTCTACAGCGTTTTATACACCTCCATTTTTCTTGCATTCACCTTTGCTAGACCGAGCGTGAGTCACACCAGAGCTGTCTGTCCTTCTCACTTCATTGTTGCTGAAAACCTACAAGATGCTTGGCGTGTGTGTGTGTGTGTGTGTGTGTGTGTGTGTGTGTGTAATATGAACCATTTGGCACGAGCATGAATCAGTGAAACAACACAGCATGTTAATTTTGAAGAAATTGTAGGGAGTGAGCAGGAGGTAGCTTTACGTGGCAGAAGGATAAATCTTGAGTGGAAAAATCTGCTGAGCGCGTGGTTTGAAAGCTCAGGAGGTTGCTCCATAGAAGGCATTGTGTTCATCATAATACTTCTCTCCTATGTTATGAGAGAAATACAGGGTGATTCATAAATCCTCTTCACATTTCCCTAATTCCCACAACACTCTAGGGTTTTTGCTTTTTGAGCTTTTGTTTTTAGTTTACTTATCTATTTAATTTCTTTAAAGGGCACCTTGTCAGGGCATCATTTGTGTATATCTGATTCTAGGAGTCATAATCTTTTCATTGCTTACTGAACAACGTTAAGCCAGCAATAATTGATGTCAAAAGTACAGGAAAAAAATTTACATGTAGAGGTCCTTCAGATTGTTTGTGGGAAATAGAATTTTATTTTGGCATAAAAATTTTCAAAATCCATGTATGCATGTTTATGGAAACTATTTACTGTGAAAAACTGCGCAATTTCCAAGGCTTTTTTTTTTTTCAGCACTATAAACTTCTAGTTCTGTTTCCCATTGAATTTTCGAAGTACCTTAGTAGAGTGATTATAAGCTGAGAAAGTAGGTTATGGAGGAAATAACTGACTACAAAGTGATCAACAGAATGTTTTCCTTGACCCATATTTAATATGTTTAGAGCATATTTAGGAAGCAAGAAAACTAGCACCAGGTTGGTATAGTGCCTGCTATTCTCAGTGGTTACACCTGGTCCCATGAACCACTTTTGCTTTCCTACCACTTGTTTGCCATTTAGTTTACACATGTCTTCCATATAGATGTTAAAATAAAGGTTTACTCATAATCTTGTTCACAATATGCTTATGGACATTCTTTGCTCAACAGTAGAAAATAAGATAGTAAAATACCCCCCAAATGTGCTGCTGTACAATTATAGCAGCTTTAACACAGACAGTTTAGGTTTCCTACTGTATTAATAGCGCATGCAAGAGTTTCAGAGCCATCCAAATTTGTACCTGTGGATGAATGACGAAACGAAACAGAACAAGAGAAGGTTGTTCAGTCTTGAAGAGGCTTGTTCTGATGTCCCTCAGCGTGGCTGTGCTCTAATAGCCGCATGAAGAAGCACATGCAATGTGATTCCATATGCAGAAGGTGCTAGAATGATCAAATTCATAGGCAGCAAGGAGAAATATTGGTTGCAGTGACCAGGACCAGAGAGCATGGTGCCCCTTGTTCAGTGGCTTCGATTTTTCACTTTGGAATCATCATGATGGTGTTCTATAGACTGATAAGCATAGCATTGTGAGTGTGCAAGGCCCTGGAGTTGACACAGGCTCTTCTCGGTGTATGTGAAAAATGCATACTGTGGGAAAGCTGTGCATAGATATCAACATTTTTTTTTCTTCGCACCAAAGTACACTTGGGTTTCAATTTCACTATTCCATGGACTTTTTTAAAGTTCCCATTGTGTGGACATTTAAAAGTGGCTGACATAAAAATTCTTACTTTTTTTTGTTGTTGTTTATACCTCAGTTGTTTATTGCTTGATTTTTCCAAAAAGGGTTTATTTATTAATTTAGGGAACAGAGTGGTGGAGAGGGAGAGAGAGAGAGAGATCTTGCCTCTGTTGGTTCACTTCCCAGGTTCCCGCAATGACCAGTGCTAGAGCTGACCCTGTCCCTTCCAAGGGTTCTAGGGGCCCAAGTCATTGTGTCATCACCTGCTGCTTTCCCAGGGCCGTTACTAGGAATTCAGTTTGTTCTCCAAGGTTGGATACCAGCCTCACAAATTGAGGCTCGACCTCCCACAGTGAAGACACTGGTCCAGCCTCAGTCTTTTTTTTTTTTTTAAAGGGAAAATTTGACATAGCTAGAAGATCTAGCTCTTGTGTGGGTTGTGTGTCCAGAGGTTGTTTCTATCATGGGGTTCCACAAAATTATTAAGGTGATGATGAACTCAGCTAGTGTTATTTGAAGACAGACACCTTGCAGAGGTTTGTGGGTGTAGTGGTTCTCTCAGGGGTCACTGATACAGCTCATGTTGCAAGCTCATCCTGTTACTTAGAACTCCCCCCAAATTAAAAAAAAAAATGTATCGATGAGTTATTTCTTGGATTTACACCAAAAAAAAAAAAGATGAATTTTCATTACAAAGTCAGATATATAGAGGAGGAGGAGAGACAGAGAGGAAAATCTTCTGTCCGATGATTCACTCCCCAAGTGACCACAATGGCCAGTGCTGAGCTGATCTGAAGCCAGGAGCCAGGAACTTCCTCCAGGTCTCCCACACAGGTGCAGGATCCCAAGGCTTTGGGCCATCCTCGACTGCTTTCCCAGGCCTCAAGCAGGGAGCTGGATGGGAAGTGGGGCTGCTGGGATTAGAACCGTCATCCACATGGGATCTCGTCATGTTCAAGCGAGGACTTTACGCACTAGGTCACTCCACTTGGTCCAGGATTTACGCTTTTTAACTCAAATTCTGTGTAGATTCAGACAAAAAGAGTAAGCATTAAATAAACTGCTGCAGTACTAAAGAAAATAATGATCAATACTAAATGTGGTCAATACTTTGAGAACAAGATTAGGCTTTTAACGTCTTAAGAGGAAATCAGAGACATAAAAGAGGGTCCCTGTTGTCATCAGGTTTCCCAGTGGCAGAAGTGGCAAACCCACTTGTGAAAGATACATGTTAAACGGGAGAAATACTTGCAGACTTTATGAGATAAGGTGCTGATTTTCTTCAAGTAAAAATGCATGCTTTAAGTTAAAGAAAAAAGATGGTTGGATAAGATGGAAAGGTATCTCTCAAGTTCACAAAATGACATTTAAACTCATTCATAATGAAAAAAGATGCAAATGAAGGATCTGTGTCAGAAAGAGAACTTATTTATTTGTTTATTTTACCTAAGACACAAGCAGTGGTCCAGATGGGTTCTCGGGTAGGTGTGACAAAGTGTAGTCGTCTTCTGGCTTCTAGAGATGAACCTCAGGGGAGGCGTCCATCCACAGCAGTTTAAATCATCGCTCAGTGTTTGAAATCTGTATCTCTTTCTGCTCAACTCTGGGAAACTTATCCTATAAATGTGTAAGCTCAGTGTTATAAGTTATATCAAACTAATTCAGCAGCAGACGCTGAGCATCTAGGATGCCTGTGCCCGTTTTTGGGAACCTAAGTGTGATGGCCACCTCCGACACCTGACGGCAGCTCCCTGGAAGGCAATGGTGATGGCTCCACTGCCTGGGTTCCTGTCACCCACATGGGAAATGTGGAATGAACTCATGGTTCCTCTCTGCTTGGGCAAACTCTCACCCCATCTGGTCTTATTGATTATAGAGATTTGTTTATATCAGTACACTGGTTTCAGATTAGGATTTAAGTAAATTCATAACTAGATGTAAAATGCACTAACATAGCATAAACTATACCTATAAGACGTCTTCAGTCAAATCTAGAACTGCCTCCAATGTTTATACCAACGAAGGTTTATTTTCTGGAATTCGCTACATAGGAGCTGTGTGACTAGATCTTTAATTAAGAGAGAACAACATGGAATAAATCAGAAAATTGTTTCTGTGCCTGGGCTCTAGGAACATGAGAAGAGCCCATGGTGCTACTGACTGTTGGAATCTGAAGCTAGAACCCTGGGGGAATCTCTCAATGGAGCTGGTCCAGCAGGAGCAGGGACAGGCCGCGGGGAGGAGAAGAGGAATAGAAACAAGGTGGCTTTCCCCATGCTCTGTTGTCCTGAACCTATCTACTATTTCCTAAGGGCTGAACTGATGTGGAAGCCAGCTGGCCCAGGAACTTTGAGAGTTCCAGCTCCCCAGAAATACAGCATAGAGATGAGAAAGGGCCATAGACTATAGATCTGGTGGCACATGATAAAGGGTTATAAACCATGGCTAGATTGTCAATAAAATGAAGCCAAGAACGATGCTGAAACCCAGATCTCAGCTCCCACTATAGTTTTGCGTTGAGCCGTAACTCCCATTGGCGTCTCTATCCTCCGCTCACCTACCCAGGCTCGGCCTGCTGGGACACAGAAAGAGAATCAGTGTTGGAAGGAGAGAATGACTGAGAGAATTTGAAGCAGATTGAGAACAGTGAATTCAGAGGAGTAATGCTAGGAGAAGCCTCGGGTATCCTTGTCCTTAGTGGCATTTGCTTTCGGGACGGTGTGCTTTAAGTTTGGACTGTGCTATTGCTGTATTTCTTCAGACCTGCATCTTTCTGTCTTGAAACAGTTTCCACTAGACACTCAGTAATTGTTGTCTCATAGATTATAGGCTTGAATTGATGAATATAATAACTGTTCGGCTCTAGTGTAATAAGGAAAACTTAGTCATTATAAAGTCTCGAAATCATGTTTACTTTTTACTTAAATGGAGCTTGTTTGTATTAATGATTATAGCTTCTATTACAGGATAACTTGGCTAATAGGGACATGATAATTTACAAAAAGATTAACAACGTTTTAAAGCTGTACCAAAAATATTTTGTTTTCTTGGTAATGGTCTCTACTGGTGTATGGAGAAAATTTGAGCGATTCCTTGTAATGAATAGCAGTGGAGATTAATTATGCTTTTTTTTTTCTCTTCAGAAAGCCCAGCTGAAATTAAAGATGTAACTTGCTATTTTTAAAGTTTCATTAATCTAGCAAAATAAATTTTCTGTTACCACTTTGGTGTAATTCCATTTCACTTGATCACATTTAGGCTGCAGATCAAATTAAGAAGCTGTATAATCTCTTCCTGAAAATTGATGCAACTCAGGTGGAAGTGAATCCCTTCGGTGAAACTCCAGAAGGACAAGGTAAAATAATAATAATAATAATAAAATTGAATACATTATGTTTATTTATGCTCGCAATGAAATAAATGCATGAAAGATTGTGGCAGCAGCATTAATTTTTTTCAGTAGTTTATTTTGAGCCATAGTTTCAGACGTTCCTGTGATTCAGTTGAACACTGTGGCATTTGGATATGTTTGCAACCATATCGCGCCTCAAAGGAAGCTTTGTCTCATTTTACTTGAAAGCATTCATGTCCCTCATTGCACCCCCACCAGCCCTGCATGTGGGCACACAGAAATAGAACCCTTGTTTCTTTGGGTCTCTTGCTGCTGTCATGTGGAAGAGTTTGGATGGGGATGGGAACTGTTATGACACCTGCTATTGTACAGCCAGTTTTGCCTGTCTCCTATACTGTAGTTACACCATCCTGGTGAAGTCCTTATTACCTCAAAGAACTCTTTCACCTACTTGTTATAATTTCTACTTGCAGTAGGAGGAAAAGGCCTTTTGGTGTGGTGAAGGTTTGTCTTGTCAATTACTTATAAATAACTATTTCATATCTCATTACCTACCACCATTGTACTATGTCAGGTAGACTGCAAGTGTTCAACAGGTTCATATCAAATTGGTAGCAAAAAGTTTGAATGTGTTTGAGGGGAGATGTTGTTGGGAGTCAGGTAACAGGTGGATAACATAGTATCAGTATGAAAGTTCCTTGAATATGGTCTTCTTCAGTATGTTTCCTCTCACTGCCCAGCATGTTGTGAGCAGTTAGTTGGCTGATAGGATTTCCTTTTGAAGTGATAAATGGGTAAATCCTAATGTGCATTTACATAACATGTGGACCAGGATGGAGATAGCACGTTTCTCCTTTTATCCTGAGCAGAGGATCTTCACTATAATTAAAAACCAAACCAAACCAAACCAAACCAAAACAAAAAATATAAACTAGATGACTAAGTCATTAAAATTAGCAGTCTTGGCTACAAATTCTGGACCTCTTCTTTTGTGGGGTAGATCTGAGCTAGTTGCTTAGTCGGCCTAAGCCTTAATTTTTCTTTCTTAATCCAATAAATAAGTCTCATAAAGTCAGTATGAAAGATGAGGTAACCTGTTGCATATGTAAACATTGTCACACAGAAAGAAAGACATTCCCTAACAATTGCTCAGATGGAGAAAAGGATAGAGGGTGTGGAAAAGGAATGGGTCTCAGATCAGAGCAAGCAGAAGAGTTCCTATTTGAGAAGCCACTGAACAAACATTAATACACCCAGGAAAGCAGCAGAAGAGGGTTCAATTACTTGGGTCCCTGATACCCACAGGAACGTCCCAGATGCAATTCTGGCCTGGGTTTGGACTGGCCCAGTTGCAGCTATTGCAGAAATTTGAAGAGTGAACCAGAATGTGGAAGCTATATCTCTCTTTCTGCCTTTCAAGTAAATAAGGCTTTTTTCTAAAAAAATGTTTTGTTAAAAAATATGTATTTCATGATTTGCATGGATTACCATCAGTGAAAAAATGTGCCATGTAATTTACGTGCAAGTGGCCTTTATTCGTAACTGTTTAATAGAATTTTTCTGGTTCTTCAGGAGCTGAGATCTGAACTCTTGTCTACTAGACATGTTGATTCTGATATGCCACACTGACTCACAGTGCTGTGCTTAAATCTTTTGTTTTGTAGCTTTCCCCCATTCCACTGTGAATTTGCTTTCCTCAGAGTGATCTAGAAGTAGCCTCCAATTTGGGGATACTAGTCAAAATTCATGTTGCATTGAGTGGCTTGTTCAAGGAATGAACAAGGAAGTTCAGTGGGAAAGTTCTTGAAGGTCATGTGTTGCTTTTCAAACTAGTGTGTGCAAGTAACTCAGGACTTCATGTTTGAAAAAATGGAAATTCAGCTGTGGATTGGGATAGAAATCAGACTACAATGCTCTATTTTCTTCAGCCTTTTGGAGCAGGCTGAGGTCTGTCAGTGAGCAGCAGGGGTGCAGGAAGTGTTTTAGAGGGTGTTTGCAAACCTCATGAAGTTTGAGGTTGCATTTTAATTATAAAGAGGAAGGGGATTTTTCATTTTTTTAAAGAATCATGATAAAACAGTTCATTAAAACATTAAGTCTTAACACGATATTTTTAAGAGCAGAATTATCTTTAGCTATTAATTTGTTCATTGTACCGTAAAAGTTTGGCTAATGAATTATATTCACAATTAAATCAGTATGTTGGTTTATAACTCTAATGAGCAGTAGTCAAATTAAACCCAATTAGGAAATGGTGATTAATGACCAAATGTACAAATTGGTCTTCATTGTTGTCATAATGTCCTACAGCAATATTAAGAACTGGAAAGCCGTCATTTATTTTAGCAATATTGATAATCTTAATATCTATAATGTGAAGATTTAAGCTATGTCCATTTATATCAGCAGCATCAGAAGATATGTGAAAATTTTTGCAGTGAAGCCTGATTTAATAATGATGTGTTTGGAGCTCAGGTTCATACCAACATTTCTTTTTACTTTAAGCCACTTTATACAATTTCTTCAGTTTGTAGTTTGCCTTTGCTAAGTGAAGAACATTTTATTTTTAAATCCATGTTATAGCTCATGCAATATTTTTAATATCTAAAAAATATTCATGCATAGTAAACTAAAAGATATTTATTTTGGTGCAGAAAAATCAAATGCATGCATGTGAGGGATGTCTAGGTATGTTTTTGAAGTAGGATTTATTATTTATTCATCTATTTCAGAGTCACAGTTACAGAGCAAGAGAGAGAGGGAGAGAGATTTTCCATTCAGTGATTTGCTTGCCAGACAGCCACAATGGTTGGCTGAACCCAGGCGATTCATTCAAGTCTCCTATGTGGGTGGTACAGGCCCAGACACTTGGACCATCTTCCACTGCTCTATCCAGACCATTAACGTGGAGCAGGATCAGAAGTGGAGCAGCTGGGGCATACACCAGTGCCCACCTAAGGCAGAGGCTTTAACTGCTGTGCCATAGCAGCAGCCTCTAGAAGGATTATGGGATGGAAAAATTACATGGATTTCAAGATTTTTGCATGAAAGAAACTTTTCATCCCATTTTCTTATTGAAATACCATCCAAATTGGTATAACAGATGATGCCAGTTGAAGAGGAACAGTAATCTTGAGAACACTGCTAATAAGCATCCCAAGGATGTTTTTTATGTTTTTAAAAAAAGAATTATTGTCTTGGAACTAGTTTTCTAATTAGTTCATTTGATGAACAATCTGATTCAGAGAATGTAATCTGTCCCTTCCGATGTATTTTGTTGATTCTTAGCCAAGATCACGAGAGTCGCTAGTTAGAGAAACCTGTATCATCTCGGGTTTTTGTTGGAAGTTCTCCTGAGGTGAGAGAAACCTAGTTGTTCTTGTGTGACTGGCTCATGTCCAACGTGACATGGAAGGGAACATTTGATGTATTGGTGAAGATACCACTTGCTATATCTGTATCCCATATTGGGGTGTCTCTGTTTTGGTCCCACTCTGCTCCCAGATGCAGCTTCCTATGAATACCTTCTGGGGAGGGCAGCACCCAAGGCTGAAGAGTTTGGGTTCTTAATATCTTTGCAGAAGACATAGACAGAGTTCCTATCTCCTGGCTTTGGTCCAACCCATGCTGTGTCTTTTGAGGGCTTTTGTGGCTTTTGGAAGTGAATTTCTGTCTGTGTGTCTATGCGGAATTCTTTATATTTCTCAGATTTTATAAATCAAAAATAAGTGAAGTGTGGGCTGGCTTCAGACTTGGCGAGAATCGGAATTCTCTGCTTTCAGATGACTCCTGCAGGCTTTCTGCAGGGAGCAGCAAAGATGAGCTCCAGGGCTCATCTGCCTCCTTAACAAGGGAGACTGGGTCAAAATGGGTGGGTCCACAAGGAAAACTAAACCTTTCCTGCAGCAAAAAATAAACTGTTTTGCCTGAAAAGTCAAAGAGACATCAATTATAATTTTCTTGCTTGTCTATAGTTTCAAAAATTTATTAAACTAATGACCAAATAAGAAACAGTGTTTCTTCATTGGTTATTTGTATATCCCCAACCATCTCTACATTCATTTTGCAAGCCACTGCAACAGTTTTATACCATATTTTGCTTCCTCCCACTTTTAACTAGCTTTGCCTGCCCACACTCTTTTTTTTTTTTTTTTTTTTTTTTTTTTAATCTTTAATGCACGAAGTTCTCAATGAGAAGTGTAGTCCTTTCTTCCCTGGGAAATTTGGCCGTCTCCAGGAATAGTTTTGGATGTCCCATTTTGGGGATGATGTCTCCAACATCTCACAGGTCAAAGCCAGGAATATGGACTATTCTACCCTGCACAGCATAGCTCATGACAACACAGAATGCTCTGCTCCCGGAAACCAAGCATCCTTCCTCCTAGGCATCTTCAACAGTTGGAAACAAAAGACTGTTCAAAGATCTCACAATAGACTCAATTTGAAAGTTACTGTCTGCCCATATCCCTATATTTTTAAAGATTTATTTATTTTTACTAGAAAAGCAGATATTACAGAGAGAAGGTGAGACAGAAAAAATTCTCTGGCTATTGATTCACTCCCCTAGTGGCTGCAGCTGCCAGAGCTGAGTCAATCTAAAACCCGGAACCCGGAGCCAGGAGTTTCTTCTGAGTCTTCTGTACAGGTACAGGGATCCAAGGCCTTTTCTCTACTGCTTTCCCAGACCACACACAGGGAGCTGGATGGGAACTGAGCCAGCTGGGTCATTGACTGCTGACCATTTGGGATCCAGGTGCATGCAGGGCAAGCACTTTAGCTACCAGGCTACTGTGTGGGGCTCTGACCAAATTCCTTAAGAATTAAGTGTCGGTGATCCAAAGTTAATGGCCACTTAAAGTCTTTTTCTTCAGATTGGTTTCCCTAAATAACCTCCCAGTTGCTTCATGTTTGCAAGTGCCCATGTTGCCCGTGGGTGTTGTTCTGTTTCTTTATGCACAAGACTTTATTTTCAAGAACATTTTCCGTTCTCTACTCCCCCACCC